TGGCTCCCAGGGCGAGCCCATGAGGCCCGACGAAGACACTCGAGAGGCCCCCACAGTGGATGTCCACAGACTTCCCAAACATCCAGGGATCATCTTGCAAATCCAAGACGGTCCAAGAGGCCCCCGATATCGGCCCAAACGTTTCAGAAGGGCTCCAAGAGAAGCCCAAACCGGCCCAGCAGGTGCCCAAGAGGGCCCCACTACGCTCCAGGGGGGGCCCGGCGAGGCTCAACATGGCCCAAGAACCTCCAAACATATAACCAAGACGGCGCCCCCCCCGAAACAGCTTAAGGCCTCGAGGGCCTGCAACTAAGATTTAAGAGCTCTTTCAAAAGAGCCCGGCTGGGTCCCTGTCGCCGCGCAGCAAGGGCCGTCGGAAGGTGACGGTGCAGTGTCCCAGTCTTGGAGCTTAGCATTGCAATGGCAACATCCTCTAGGATATGTAAATGCATGAAGCCAATGAAAATAATTCAAACATGCTCTTCCTGCATTTCGTAAACGCTACATAGCCCAGAACTGCATCAACAAAAAAAAATAGTCGGGCTGAATGCTATTGTTGTGGTCATACTACAAGAATCTGGTTCGACCATGTCCTCAGAGTCTCCACGGGGTCTTCCTTCGGATACGAAGCGAATTCCAAACAGCTCCCTGTGTTCTGTACTGCGTGACGGCGTATGAAAACTCCCTTGAGGCCCGAAGATCCCATCTTAAGATCAGAGCCGACCAACAAAGAGAAACATGCCTCACGATTTGCTTTATGTAGTTCCCTCCCCCCAGGAACACCTTCGGAGCCCACGAGAAGCCCACCCACTCTCAAACATACTTTCAATGACAATAAATTTGGATCAGCAGAGCCTTCCACCGAGCCCCTAATGCCTCAACCATAACATCGTGTTGGGGGCCGTCTCCCGTGCTTCTCGGGCCTGTCTGCGATTGTGCTTGAGTGCGTGTGGAGGAATGTTGGTATCGCGTTTGAGGGTGCAGGCTCTGTTGCGTGAACCCCCGTGATTCGGGAAGCCCGACTGATGGGCCCCCACGACAATTTCTCGCCCCAAACCGACCAACGCCCCCCCCACCGCTCCCCAGCACCCCCTACCCCACGAGAGCTTTGTTCTTGGGACTCCCCACGACAATTCCTCGCCCCAAACCGACCAACGCCCTCCACCGCTCCCTGGCACCACCACCCCACGAGAGCTCTGTTCATTGCACTGCGTGGATTGCACCGCGTAGGCTGCACCACGCAGGTTGCACCACATATATTGGCTCATGCATATGGCACAAAACACATACTGCACGGCATGTTTTGCACAACATGGATTGCACAACATAGATTGCACCGCGTAGATTGCTCCACCAAGAGTGCTCCACATGGGCCCGCGCTGGCTATCAGTTCTTTTAGACTCCATGAATCCTGCAGCATTGCACAGTGCTTCATCTTATTTCCGAGTGCTCATATCTTCATTTGCTGACTTCCCCGCGCAGCTCGATGCCCCCACGTGGAAGGTCAGCGGATACAACACGCTAAATGTTTCCCCTCTCTTGAGCCGCTCATCCTGGCCAGGCGCCACGGCGGAAGCGGTGCGGGCCGCGGCGGCTTCGGCGGCGGCGCGGCGGTCTTCCGCGACGTCCCCTGGCTCTGGCCAGGTGCCGCCGGGAGGCGCTGTTTGTTAAAAGTGGCGCGCCACTGCAGCTCTCAGGAAAAGGCGCCTCGGCCCTTGGGCCTCTTCCCCTCGCACCCCGCCGCCCAGACATCCCGCGTCGAGAGCAGAATCGAGGCGCCCGGCTTTTTAGCGGCCTGGGCTTTTTGAGGCTTTTTGTTCGGACCTCGTGGCCATCAAAGAACGGTTCAGGATGGAGAGTTGGCTGGGGGAAGGTGCCGAGATGTCTCGGGGCCCACGTTGCAAAACACATCGGGCCGTCACCGGTCCTGGCAGGTCACCCACATATTAAGGAATGCGTCCAGCTTTGAGAAGCTGGAGCAAGTTTCCCTGGTTGTAATCCGGCTTTCGCCTTGTAGGGTTACAGTGGGAATCGTATACCGTGCGATCAGTCCGCTTCCAGTGGTTGTCATCAGTCGGAAGTGGTCCCTGAACGGTCCGAAGTGGTTGGGGCCGGTTTCATTATCCCCCTGGGGAGGCGGTCACGACCCCTGGGACAGCCCAGCTACCCCCCCCGGGCAGAGAAGGGTTCCAATGGAAGGGGCTTCCTGTCAAACGAATTGCAACGTTGTCTGAACTCCGTTTGATTGGATCGCTTGAGGAGGAGGGCCTAGGGAAAGGGGGGGAACTGCGACGGCGACGATGTTGCCCAAAACGGAACAACCTTTCACACGCGCCGGCAGGAAGTTCGGTCTGTCGTTTCCCTGAACCTCAGGAGGCCGTCAAAGGGTTTCAGGGGGCACCCAGAGGACCTCCAGAGGAGGCCCTTTGGGGGGATTTCCAGAGGGCTTCTGGGATGCGGGCAATATATCCATATCCAGAGCGTCGTGCACTTGTTGGGAAGGGGTGCCGCAAGGCCGAGGCACACTGGATATGAATAGAAATTGAACCTTCCGGGGCAAGATTTTCATCGACATCCGGTGCGCCTCCGGCTTCCGGGGAAGAGAGCCCACAGCTCCAAGACGCACTGGATGTAGATACAACCATTGCCCGCATGGGAGACTTCAGAAAGCTTCCAGCGTCCTCCTCGAGGAGGAGGAGGAGGAGGAGGGGGAGGAGGGGGGGAGGAGGAGAAGGCGGCCGAGGAGGAGGAGGAGGAGGAGGAGGAGGAGAGGAGGAGGAGGAGGAGGAGGAGGAGGAGGAGGGAGGAGGAGGAGGAGGAGGAGGAGGAGGAGGAGGAGGAGGAGGACCTGCAGGGATTTCGTGGTCCCCTCTGGTGGGGTCCGCAGCGGCATCTCGCCCATTTAGAGGCCTCCCAGGGTGCCCTGCGCGAAGGGGCTTTGACCATGGGAGCGGAAGGCTTCCAACGTTACTTGGGATCGTTGCCCTGGAGGGCTGCCTGGCATCTTCTTCCCCCAAAACAGTGCTTGCACTCAGGCCTGCTGCTGCTCCTGCAGGCGCTGGGGCTGGTTGCCGGCCTGGCTGGCGTGTGGCCGCCCTTGGTCTCGATGTTGAGTGTGTGTGTGTGCGTTCCCGAAGCAGTGCTCCCACTTAGGGGTTCTTACTTTCGGAGGTGGACAGACCTCCTACCCTGACACGTCGATTAAGGAATTGGCCGTTTCCGGTTCGCGAGAGGGCGTCACGGCCGTCATTTTTGCGGGTCCAGGTCCGTCGGTTTCGGTCCCAGGCCGTTTTCACGAAAGGGAGGTTCACTAAACGGAGGTTTATCCACCGCCGATATATACATATGTATATACATATGTGTGTACATATATATATATATGTATATACATACATGTATATGCACCTATTTGCGAGTGTAGATGTACTTACTTGTAGATTCACATCGCGATGTCTTCTATACTAGTGTAGGCCCGTGGAGCAAATCCGCGGGGCTAGGGGGATATAACTGTGGCGGTGCGTTCAGGGGTGTGCGAGGCAGTCAGCGACCGCCGTAGGTCTCGCGATGATTGTTCGACTGGCGTTCCCCTGCCGCGGGCGGCCCTGTAGGAAACCCTTTTGGAATTCCTGGGGGGGCACCTGGGGCCCTCTGGGGCCTTGTAGGACGCTTGTCTCGCAGTCTTCGAGCCGTCTAGGCCTATTTTGGACGCCTCTTGGACCGTCTTGGGTCCATCTTGGGCCGTATTGGGCCCCTTTGGGGCCCCTTCTGGGGTCCTTTTGGGCCGTATTGGGAGCCACGTGGGCCGTCCCCGGGCCGTCATGAGCCATTTGGGGGCCTTCTTGGGAGCTTCTTGTGCGGTCGAGGCCTCCGGGGCTGTCGTGAACGCGGGGACGACCCAAAGGCGAGTTTGCTGAAAACGTCAGCTTTCCAATGGGAATGCGTCGATTTTTGGTGGATGGGGCTCTCTCGGTGGTCCCCTGGGGCCCTCTCTGGGGGCCCCTGGGGTCCTCTTGTGGCGCCGTTTGGGGGGCTCTCGGGGGGCCTTCGCGTGCCCTTTCGGGACCCCCGGGGAGCTCGGGGAACTGGGGGTCCACGCAAACCCGCGAAGGTTCCTACGGATTTATTTGGGTGGATGTGGTGCGTCCTACGTGGAGCAAGTAAGCAATGCAAATCCATTGATTGCTATGCGAATTAGCGCAAAGCCACGCAACGCAACACAACGCAACGCAAACCAATGCGAAGCAAGGGCAGCGCAAGGGCGGCGACGGCGAGAACATAGTCGCCAGACCGGCCCGCACTCCCAGTTCCTCATGACAAGCAAGTAGGAACCCCTGAGTGTCAGCACTGTTCTGGGGATTGTCTCTACATCGCGCAACAGATTCATCGACTAGACGTAAGAGTGACCTTTCGCCGGAGTGACCTGTGGAGCGGGCACGCATGGGTCCCCAGACGGCTGAAAGCGAGGCAGTAGCAGCTGCTTGCGCGCCCATGTTTGGTCCACCCGCGGCCCCCCAAAAAGTCGCGCACCAAAGGTCACTCTTACCCCTTGGCATCGCTCGGACGTGTGCACTTTTCCTTCGGCGAGGACCATCGAGGAGCATCCTTGACCATTTGGCGAAAACACCACCCACGAAACCGAAAAAAAAACACAGGGAATGGACGTCCGAGCGATGGCGAGACCCAGGATCACTCCTGCGTGCAGCCGAGTACGAGCCCTGCGTTCTTGAAAGGTGGAGGGTGCTTTTTTTTTTTCTCGAAATGGGGCCCTCGCCTCAGTGGCAGACCCACGGGGCCTTCGTCTCCAAACGGAGCGTCCACCGCAATGGCAGGGGCTGCTCGTAGGGGTTTCGGAGCAGGGGGCCTCGGACGGAAGGGCGCGTTGCAGCAGCGTTGGCGCATCCTGCGTCAACTCTGGCCTTCGCCGTGCCTCCCTTGATCCTCGTCGCCGTCGCCCTCCTCCTTCTCCTCCTCCCACGTCCTCCTAGTCTCCCGCGTTTGGCATCTCCTCGTCCCCCTCCCGTAGCCACTTGGGCTCAGGCCGCTGTGCATCGAGGTTCATGCCCGAGATGTCCGGGCACTGCCAGGTGCAATGCCAAGCCAGTCTGCCCGGCCGCAGTTCGCAGCGGTTGCCCAGCCCTTCCACACGCCCAGGGGGCGCGTCGAGGGCCCAGAGGATGCCACGGGCGACGGCGAGGCGCCGGCCCCGCCGCAGGACCTGCTGTCCGTGCTGAAGAGCATGCTGGCCGAGCAGGCGCAGGAGCAGGGGGCGATCGCGAAGCAGCTGGTCGACGACAGGCTTGCTGCCATGCTGGGGGAGGTGCAGGAGAGGCTGCGCGCCGTGAGGGAGGAGCTGCGGGCGGAGCTGAACGAGAGGCTGGACAGCCAGCGCCGCGAGACGCAGGAGGAGCTCCGCTCCGTGAGGGAGGAGCTGCCGGCGGAGCTGGGCGAGGTGCTGGACGGCCGGCACCGGGCGACGCTGGAGGAGCTCCGCGCTATGAGGGAGCGGGTGCAGGCGGAGCTGGGCGAGAAGCCACATGGCCAGCGCCGGGCGACGCAGGAGGAGCTCTGCACGAAGGATGACATGAGGGCGGAGCTGGGCGAGAAGCTGGACAGCCAGCGCCGGGCGACGCAGGAACAGCTCCGCGCCATGAGGGAGGGGCTGCAGGCGGAGCTGGGCGAGAGGCTGGACAGCCAGCACTGGGCGACGCAGGAGCAGCTCCGCGCCGTGAGGTTGGAGCTGCAGGCGGAGCTGGGCGAGAAGCTGGACAGCCAGCGCCGGGCGACGCAGGAGCAGCTCCGCGCCGTGAGAGGCCTTCTTCGCGGCATCCGTGTGTCACCGCTGCCACCTGTCCGCCCCAGCTAGGGGGCCACATGGGAACCCTACCCCCACCCCCCACGATTTCTGAGGGGGAGGGTGGGGTTCACTTCGCTCGTGGAGCCCCCGAGCGAAGTGAACCCCGCCCTCCCCCTCAGAAATCGTGGGGGGCAGGGGTAGGGTTCGCATGTGGCCCCCTACCAGCTGCACTTGCAACGACCACGACGCCCGCCCGGGCGCCCGTCCGCCGAGCCCGGGCACGCAGGGCAGCGGGCCTGCCTCCGCGGCCCGGGGGCCCGAGGGCGGTGGCTCCCTCGAGCATGCCGCGCCCGACGAGGCGAGCGCCGCCGCCGAGCGCGAGGTCGGTGACGCGTCCGATGCCGTGCGGGCTGCAGGGGGGCGCCAGCCGACACGTCGGCCCATCGCCAGCGGCTTCGGGGCGCTGCGGTCGGCGCTTCGGGGGTGGAGCGCACCGAGGACGGCCCGACGCGGGGCACTAGACGGGGAACCCAAAGTGGCATAAACACACAAACTCTGAGGTCCGCGCAGATTTCTCGGATCGGCGCTGGGACCCCCCGGCGGCGCCTCCGTCGCCGCCCCTGGCGCACTCCGCGCGCCAGGGAGGGGAGTCCAGTGCCGATCCGAGAAATCCGCGCGGACCTCCGAGTTTTTATGTTTATGCAATACTTTTGTGGCCCTCACCAGAGGTGTGAGCGAAGCCATCGTGTTTCCCGCCGTCAACTCCCAAGACGACGCCGATGGCGAGCAGCTGGACCCGCGCGCACGCGCAACCAGCGGGGGCGATCGGGGAAATAGTGTGAGGACGTGGACCCTCGACTGGGGCGAGGTGACGTACGCAAGCTTCACGAGAGAGCCTGGTATGTCATGTGTTTCTGATTTCACGAATATGCTGGCACCCCGAGTGCATGTGTCATGGACGGACGGTTTCTCCTGAACGTGGCCTTGCAAGTTTGCAATGGGTCACCATTGAAGAACTCCTGGTGGTGCCTACATGATCTGCGGAGCGCCTGGGCGACCCACCGAAGTTAAGATCTGGGTTTGCGTACGCATTCGAGTATGTGGATAAGGCGACTCAGCGGTCGATGGCTGCAGAGACCCGCAATTTCAGCTGCACGTGGCCGGTGATCAAGCAGATTCATTCAGAGATATGAGGGAATGTCTCTACGGATGGCTTTGTGGCGCGCTAGTCGCAGCGCCGTCCGAATGTCACGAAAATTGTGGATGAGTTGTCTAGCTTCATGGCTGTCATGACGGTCGCGCACATTGCTTCCATAAGGTTGTTGCCGTCTGGCCGTGTGCCTTCCGAGAGTAGCACTGGCAGTCAGTTTTTTCTTGGTTCAGGTGATGTGGCAGGCCAGCACGATCAAGGCTTTTCCGGACCGCGTGACGCTTGGCGCCATTTTCCTGGCTATAGTGGATAGTGCCTCCTTTGCTGCTCTGGTTTGCCCTCTGTACAGGAAAAGCTCTGAGCGGCCGTTGTCAACGCAGGTCTCGCGTGCAGCGTTTTTTCTCTAATCGACAGAACGACCGCGCTCAACGGTCACACCGTAATGCCAAGCCATACCAACAACTGAACGGCGCGTTTGCCGAGGTGCTGCACTCCGCACCAGCGCAAAGGCATCTGTCCGGCGGCAGCATAAGTGCATCGCATCAGGCCCCTGGAGATCAGGACACAGATAAACCAGGACACGGAAAACCAAGGAAACGACACCCTTCCCTGCAAAGTCACGCTTTCCAGCACCTGTGCCTTTTCTGTTTGCTGCGCTGCAGGACTCGGGTTTGTGTCCGGGTTTTGGGGGGTTCTTGCAGGCTTGTAGGGCCTGTGCCCGGGTTTATTCTGAAAATGCTGCAGTGCAGTATGTTGTTTGTGTCGCCGTCTGGAAAACTTGGTTTCGAGGGATGCTGGGTGTCCGGGTCTAGCGTGTCCGGGTCTACGGGGCCCTGATCGCAGAACACCTTCACACGCACGCGCACACACACATTCACATTCACACACACACGCACACACACGCAAACACATACACACATACACATCCGTAGCCATTTTGGCTCAAGCCATTTTGGCTCAAGGCGATGAGATTCCCGACGACCGCGAGTCTCTCGGGGCGATCAAGCGCGAGGGATCTCCCCTTGCGCCAAATCTCTCCACCAACTCAACTGTGCTGCGTTCTGGGCTACTGCACTGAGTGGCGCCCACACTCACGTGCCTTGCTGGTCCGCCCCAGCAGAGGCCATCACGTTTCCCTCTCGGCACGTCCCTGTCTGTCGTATGCCTGATGGCGCGGACGCTGGTGCTCCGAGACGCTCAGGGCGTGCACGTGCGAGTGGCGATGGGCGTCAGTCGCCGCGCAGCCGTGTCAGCTCAGCGCGCCACGAAGATGACGTGCGGAGCAGGAGCCAGGGCTCACCGATGGCTGCTCGTGCTTCTGCCCGCGCTGGTCCTGCTGGCAGCATGGAGACGGACGACCCGCTGCAGCGCGCTGACCCCTGGTCTGCTGAGGGTGGGGGCGACGGGCGTGGAGGCAGTGCTGGGCGTGGCCAGGCCGCTGCCGCTGGGACACCGCCTGTCATCGCCATCGACTCCCCGCGCCTCCCCAAGGACAGGAACGCCCCCGTCCTCCACGGCGACTTGGATGACATTCTGGCCGCCCTTCAGTCAAATATCATCAGTTCGGTCTCTGCCTCGGTCAAGGAGTCCGTGGATCGCATGCAGCGCGGCATCACGGAGAGCACGGCAACGGCCATCCGCGCGTTCGCGGCGAGGCAGGAGACCATCAACGAAGAGACCAGCCTTCACCTCCGTGATCTTGATGCCAGGCAGGACGCACTGGAGAAGGCTCACCGTGATATGCGATCTCAGCTCGCACAGATGCAGGAGATTGTCCACCAGTGCGAGAAGGCGGCGTCGCCCGAGCTGGATGTCACCAGCAACGTCGCCTTCACTCGCGAGCCGAATCACACCATCTTCGTGGCCACCACCAAGGAGCCGGTGGCGACGGCTGCTATACGCGAGTCAGTGGCCTCCTGGCTGGCTGAGAGCGGCTTCACGGACGAGCAATGGAAGATTGAGGGCGAGAGTCCAGGCCGCCGTTTCATCATTCAGTTCCTGGGTGCGGAAGGTCTCGCTGCGAGGCACGTGCACCATGCGTTCAAGCATCTCAAGCTGGCCAGTGGCGAGTGGCGCAGGTTTGACGCTGCCACCCCCGCGGGGGCCCGCGCGGCTGTCTTCGTGGGCCTTGACAAAAGCCCGCAGATGGTACGGCGCGAGATCGAGACAAAGAAGCTGCTGGAGATCGTCAAGGAGTCGTGTGTGGGCAGATGGAGAGCGCATCGCGCTCAGGGTGTCATCTACAGGGGCTCCTCGCCAGTCATCAAGGTCCTCGTTCCTGAGTCGCCGTCAGAGGCTACTGCGCTCCAGTGGAACTACCGCATGGTCCTCGAGACGGGTATTGACAAGCAGAGCGTTGCGGAGGCGTTCGCGGAGCGCTTCGGCGCGTCTGAGCGCATCCAGTGGGCTATTTAGCAAGCGACTGGCATGCTGGCGCCCTGTGCCCGCGACCTCGGGCGCGTCAGGATCGAGGATTCCCCCAGCGCTGTTTGGCACTTGGAATGCTCGCGCTCTACTTCATCATGACCGTGCCGCGGGTGGCATCCGCGAGCTCAAGCTACGCTATTTGGCACACATGTTGAGGCGTGGGGTGGTGATGGCGGTCCAGGAAGTCCATGCCACGCGGGCTGAGCTCCATCAGGCTCTGCATCGGTTGCACGTCTCTTGCCAGGTATTCGAGTCCATACCACGCGTGGATGCTGGTGGCGTCTGCATCATCGTGCCGTCCGATCCCTTGGTTCTGCAGCGGGCGCGCTTTCGTCCTGAGGTGATTGTACCTGGCCGTATTCTGAGGCTGAGGATTTCTGCGATCGCCGCTGATGGCAACTCTTCTTGCAGCACAGTGATTTACAATGTGCACAACTTTGGTTTAAGCGATGAGGACCGCGTGATATTTCGAAGAAAGCTCTTCTCCGATCTCACAATGGCAGACATGGCACCCGAGAAGGTCACCGTTCTATTGCTTGGAGACTTCAATCTGTATAAGCAAGCACCCATGTACCCGCGTGCTCCTGAGATAGACAAGAGGCGTAGTCAAGGGGATGTTGCGGTGCGTGCTCATGACGCCTTCTGGCAGGGTGTGTTTAGCCGCATGATGGAGCTGGACAATGAGCTGCCCACGCATTACGTCACAAATGAGTGGCAGCCCAAGCTCACCCAGATCGATCGAGTGTTCGTATCTATGCCGAGCTGGGCTGCCCTGCAGCAGCACTTCGTTGCGCTCACGGAGGATAAGCCAGAAGACTTGCACGAGAGAGGCATAAGTGACCATGTTCCAGTCGTGATCTCGGTATCGGCCCGTCAGGTGGCGCCCGCCGAGGAGCAGAGGATCCCCTCCCACTTCTTCAAGGATCCTGAGTTCGCTGCGCAGTACGAGAGGCTGCGCGTGCTCGTCGATTGGTCCAAGCTCGGGGTGTATGCGACGAGGCGGCGGCACAAGGAGCTGATGAGGGAGGCTGCGAAGTACGTGAGGGATCTGCGATGCCGCAACCCGAAAGGCGAGACGAAGCTGATGGTCTTTCGCTCGATGTCTCGAGCGGTCTGGCGGGATGATGTCGAGTTGGGACAGAGGCTTCTCTTGACGTGTGAGATCGCGCCGACGTACATCTCGGTCTCGAGCGTCCAGGTCTCACTGATCCACCCGCCGTCGTTCGCTAGGGACTTCGCTGAGGCCCAGCGCTTGCACTTCGAGGCTCGAGCGGCTGCCCTCTCGGAGCAGGAGGCGAAGGCGTTCGACCCCAGATCGTTTAAGATGATGAATGCTGCCCGGCGCAAGCTGCGCAGGCGGGAGGCCCTGTGGTCGCCCTTCAATCGCACGCTCAAGTTGCAGGGCATCAAGGTGCCCGACGACGAGGGACACAAGGTGCTGACGGACCAGGTCGACATGGTCGAGGCCCTCCGCGACCACTGGGCCCCGATCTTCCAGGTCAAGCCGAAGGTTCCCAACTGGCAGGTCCTCGCGGACAGGTACATCAAAGAGCACGCGCCACTGCTGGAGGTGGCCGACCTGCTCCCCCCTGATCGGCGGGCGTTGTTGCGAGCTGCTGCCCGTGCCAAGGAGTCGGCGCCTGGGCCTGACGGTCTGCCGTATGCTGCCTGGCGTGCTTGCCCCGCAGCGCTTGCTGCGCTGGAGGACGTGGTCCTGGAGATCGCGTCTGGCAGGCCGCCGCCCATCGACTGGAACGACCACCTGCTCGCCTTCCTCCCGAAGGGTTCGTATGAGGAAGATCTAGTGGAAGGCGCTTTTCGCACGCCGTGCACCACGCGGGCGATTGCGCTCAAGAATGCGGACTGCAAGCTGGTGGCGTCCGCGGTGAATGCGCGGATCAAGGGCCCCATTGAGAAGGCATCGCCTGCCCCCCAGCGGGGCTTCCTGCAGGGCCGCAACTTCCTGGACAACATCTGCCTGCTGGACGCCACTGCGCGGGCTGCGGGGCTGCAGGAGTCGGGCAAGCCCATCATGGCCCTGTTCGACTTTGGCGACGCGTTCCCGTCTCTGATGACCGAATGGATGCTGCTCATGCTGGTCCGCTCGGGGTTCGTCGGAGGCGTTCGGTTTGTGCTGGAGGCGCTCTACTGGCTTCCCACGGCGTACGTGGAGCTCGCGGGCGCGATGGTGCGGTTCGTTTGCGTCTCGTGCGGGCTCGCACAGGGATGTCCGTCTTCTGGGAGTCTTTGGGCCATTGCAATGAACCCGTTCATTCATCACATGATGCAGTACACGGACCGAGACGCCAGTCGCCTCTCCGCCATCGGGGTTTGTGCTGACGACGTCGGGGTGGTGCTGCGATCGCGCCACTTGCTCCGTGGGATGTGGCGGGCCTTCGCTGCTGCGCGGGCGCTCGCGAGCTTGCACCTGAAACTCCACAAATGCGTGCTGATCCCGCTGGAGGCTAAGTTCTCCGACGAGCTCGTCGCAGATCTCAGAGGATGGCTGGCCGAAGCTCTGTGCGAGTGGAGCGGCATGCAGGTGCGCGACCAGGCGGAGTACCTGGGCTTCGTTGTCGGCCCTGGTGCGACACAGCGGGACATCTGGAGGAAGGCGGCCGCAAAGTGGCTCTCCCGCGTCGTGGACATTGCGATGAGTGGTGCGGCCCCGTCGCTAGCTGCTCGGCTTTACAATCGTCGTGCTCTGCCTGTTTTAGGATATCTTCAACAGCTGGCGGCCACCCCGAAGTTGTTGCTGGCCAAAGAAGGGTGGGCGGCCGCCAAGCTGTGGCACATGCCCCCACAGGCGCTGGGCAGGCATGACTTCCTGGCCTTAGGTGCGTGGGCGCCTGGCCTTCGCATCCGCTCACTGCTGGCCACGGGCTGTGCGGCGGCCATGCGATCGGCCCTCTCCACGGTGAGCAACTGGAAGGAGCTGCACGCATGGCTGCAGGCGCAGGTCCAGGACCACGGGAGTCTTTGGATAATTGGCAGCGGCACTTTGTCGCCGCCGTTTTGGCAGACCACGCCCATCGTACAGTTCCTGGCGTCGGCGCAGGAGGATTTTGTGAATGATCGGGCGCTCGCGCGTCCTGCTGCCGCTGCGAGGATGGCACTCGTCAGTGCATGCCGCGACGCAGCTGAGCGGGGCGTGCGGGTGCACACGCAGAAAGCTTTGTACTCTTCTTTGCACGCCTCGCTCCATCCTGACCACCTCCACCTCCTGATTCAGCGACGCTTGAAGGCATGGGGGCTCGAGGTTGAAGGCCGCGTCGGGTGTCCCAGGGCCTGCCGTTCCCACGTGGTGTCATGTAAAGCGCGGTGGGCCGGCCTGAGAGATGCGATTTCGCGCCTGGCTCCGTCGTGGCAGAGTGCGATTCTTAAGACAGTCTCAGGCGCTTGGCTCACCTCGGGCCGCCTTCACGTACAGACGGGCATCGGCGAGTGTCGCTTTCGGTGCAGGGAACCGCCTCTGGTAGCTGCACCCGACACCTTTTCGCACTATTTGGACTGTAATGTTCTATGGTCGATTGCCTACCCACCTCAGGCCGAGATTCCGAGTTGTGCAGTCTGTCGTCTTGGCCTAGGTGGATCACCCAGCCCATCCACTATTGAGGCTGTGGTCACTGCATATCATATTTATAACTCGGCCAGAGTTTTGTGCCCGCCGCCCAACCCCTCTGAGGAAGCTTGGGAAGGCCACTTGTACGAATTGCGGCGTGCTGCATGCGCACTCGTCGAGCTCACAAGAACTCGAGAGGCTCCGTAGGGCTCGTTAGGGCTCGCTGGTGACCTCTGAGGACCCCCTTTGAGTACGTGCGACATACACACATACACACACACACACACGCTTTATCTTCGGCAGGCCCGGGTGCGCAGCGACTTCGCGGGTCTCCATGCGCACGTGGCAGGGACATGCAACAAACATACCGCTGAAATGGATGGGCAGTGAACCAGCCGACGACACACAGGCACGCACAAGCGCACACGCGTGCGCGAGCGCGCATAAGATACGGAGACACGCAAGGACACAGGCGTGCGCACACACGCATATGTTGTCTCACATAATGTCGTCCGCACGACGCTGGGTTGGAGATCTCTGGTTCGGTCGAAGTGTGCGGCCCTAGCGGTGTTCGCTTGTACCACATGACTGAAGAGGCTTACGCCATTCCGCCGACCCCGAGACAAAGTGAGGAGGCCTTGGAAGTTGCTAGGGAGAGGTAGGGGCTTGAAAGCCTTCCATGGCGACATGGATTTCAGCCATGGTGGCAGAATGGTGTTGGACCTCTTATGGCGTGTGTGGGTTATTGGTCTGGTCTGGTCATGAGGAGGAGGAGGAGGAGGAGGAGGAGGAGGAGGAGGAGGAGGAGGAGGGAGGAGGAGGAGGAGGAGGAGGAGGAGGAGGAGGGAAGGAGGAGGAGGGCGTACCGCAGGGTGAGGACCGAGAAGTCAGGAGGCCACGAGCAAGGCCGGCATGGGGATGTGCGAGAGGAGCACACGAACAACCGGCACGACGGCGGGCCGCATCTCCATGAGACGATGCTGCCTCGAGACGACGGGCCCGGGCCGCCCTCTGCGCTCGAAGAACGGCACAGCGGGAGGGCCCGCGCCGTGGCAGCCCCCAGCGCCCCTGGCAGCCCCCACGGGTGGGGCGGCCAGGGCCCCAACACACTTCACCCTGGGCGGCGCGGGCCGCGCCGGAAGCGCCGTGCGGCGCACCGCCCCGGGGGCGCCAGGGGCCCGCGCGACGAGGGACGGGCTCCCGCAGACTGCCCCCTCACCACGCCCTCGTGTCCCGCGACGGGCGCCGGCGGCTCGCGGCTCCTTGGGCCGAGCGGGCGGCTGCGCAGGCCCGAGGGAGCCCGTGCCAGGAGAGCGATCTGTCCGACTTGATCTCCAGCCCGCCCCCCGAGGAGGAGGAGGAGGAGGAGGAGGAGGAGGAGGAGGAGGAGGAGGAGGAGGAGCAGGAACACCAAGTTGGACGAGCCCAGTGACCCCGAGCCAAGGGGGCCTGGCAACGGAGGGCATCCCGAGCCCGCCCCACCCGATGCCCCGCCCACGCTCGGGGGATGGACCCCCAGGAGGCCTGGGCGCCCAAGCCACCCCGCCACCGTCCGCCAGTCATGCGGCTGGTCGCCAGCTCTACTTGTACCCCTCGGGTACAAGCGGCACGGACCACCCACCAACTCCTCTGGCGGGGGCGCCCCAGCTATGCCGATGTGCTCACCTGCCTGGTTTGTGCCGGGGGGGAAATGAGAGAGAGGGAGGAGGAGGAGGAGGAGGAGGAGGAGGAGGAGGAGAGGAGGAGGAGGAGGAGGAGGAGGAGGAGGAGGAGGAGGAGGTAGGAGGAGGAGGAGGAGGAGGAGGAGGAGGGGGAGGGGGAGGGGGAGGGGAGGGGGAGGGGGAGGAGGAGGAGGGGGAGGGGAGGAGGAGGAGGGGGAGGAGGAGGTGAAAGAAGAGGAGGAGGAAGAGGATTGTAGTGTAGCGCTGGTGCTCTTGAGGGTAGGCGCAGCCCTTTTGTGTATCGGGTGGGGCACTTGGGCTCACCCGCCCTAGTATGTGGGCGCTGGTGAAGCATGGGATGACCCACTTTGTATGGAGGTGATTGCTCCTGACATCGTGGTTGGTATGCGTCCGCCTCCTGGTTCGCAGTCACCGCTGCCAATTCGAATCTGGGAATGCTACGTTCACACCAGACCGTGTGCTGGGGACATTAGGGGTGAGAAAATGGGAAGACTGTGGAAGTAGCTTGAATCACATGCTGTGTCGACTGTGCCGCCTCCGCCTTCTGCGTGATTTTTCTGTGTAGTCCGTCACGGCATGTCGCCCCTGGAGCTCGATGGGTGCGGCGCCCACTTAGCAAGCGTGCATTGCGTACGGGGCCACCCCTCCTTCCTACATTTATGATGCTCCAGCCTACTTTCGCCTTGATCACCAGAAATAATTTCGAGCGTACCCCAAAACTCGAGGGCTTTCACGTGTCGGGCCCTGTTTCGATACTCTTTCGTTACCGTTTTGACACTCTTTCGACACTCGTCCGGGTGCTCGAAATTATTTCTGGGATGTGGTCCGTAAGAAGGATGGGAACAACATAATCCTACGCGAGGGGGTTACGCAGGCGGGGTCGCAGCTCCACGATCCAAGAAACAGCGCATGAGTGATCAGATCCACGGCATGGGGGGCAAGCGCGGGGTGGGGGGGGGGGCGAGTCTCCCCCACGCGATGGGTCAACACGTGTGGAGCCACAACCCAGCATGAAGGACCAGGGCGACTCATGAGGGCCACAGCTTCACAAGAGGGGTCACATAATGAGGGTGCCAGGTGCACCGAATGATGGGTCAAATGGTGAGGGGTCCAGGCCCGAGCATGAGGGATCAACGCGTGAGTGAGGACGGGTCATCCCTACAGCATGGGTGGTCGACGCAAAAGGGACCAAACCCCAGCATTAGGGGGTCAACGGGGTAAGGGTCCCGGCAAGCAGGGGTCAGCGCCCGTCGTGACGGGGTAACGCATCAGGGGCCAAAGCCGCAGCGAAGGGATCAGCGTATGCTTGGTCGTAGACCCAATAATGGTCAGGCTCTGGAGGAGGCCAAATCCATGGTGTGGGTGGGGGCAATGCACAGTGGGGGCGCAAACGTTCGGTCATCAGGGGGCACCGCATGAGACAAGTGGGAATGAAACCCTAGCGCCAGGGGTCAGCGCACCAACACGAGAGCCCAAAGCGTGAGCTAGACTGGGGACGGCGCCCCACCATGAGTGGTCTGCGCAGGACGGGCCTGAGCCCCCAAACGGGTGGCCAACGTATACTAGTCTATAGTGTATGAGGGGACAATGCCCCAGTATGAGGGGTCGAATTCATGAGGGGCGGAAGCCCAGCATGAATGGTCAACGAATTGGGGGCCGCCGCCCTAGCGATGGAGTCATCGCGCGACGGGTCATAGATCCAGGATGGAGCATCAACGCATGATGGGTCCACCGTGTGAATCGCTTCGCCTCAGGGTTCAACCTTATCCGCAAGCGGGGTGGCAGCGTAATGAGGGCGAGTGAGGGGCCAGCGCATGACGCGTCGAAACCCCAGCATGGGGGGTCAGAGGTAAGGCGGGGCAAAGCCCCAGCAGGATTAGCCGTCGGAGGAGGGGCCTGAGCTCCAGCATGGGGTGTCAGCGTTTAAGAGTCAATAGCATGAGGGGACAACATTCCAGCATGAAGGGTCTCTTGTGAAGGGCAGCAACCTGGCAAGACGCAATGGGGTCAACGCGTGGCGAGTCATAGATTCAGAATGAAGGTCATCGCATGAGAGGTTCAATACATGGAGCGTGGTGTCAAAGCATGCTGGGCGTCTCCCCAGCGCGAGGGGTCAACAGTTGAGGGGTCAAAATCCAGGCATGAGGAGACAGCGCGTTATCTGAGGGAGGCGAATCCTCAGCAGGACGGGCCAGCGCATGCGGGGGCGACGGAAGGGGTCAGTGTAGAAGACAAGGGGGGTAAAGTCACATCATGAAGGGTCGACGGATGAGGGACCAACGCCCGAACACGATGGGGCCTGTTTCAAACCATGAGGGGACAACGCCCAGCATGAAGGCACAACGCACGAGGAACCAAAGCCCCAGCGATTGGGTCGGTGCATGGTGAGGCAGAAGCCAAGAAAGAACGGCAAACACATGAAAGGTCGAATCCACGCCACACCCACATCCACCACATCACATATTATGTGTTCAAAGCTTCTCTCTAAAGCCTGTGGCCCGACGACCATCGTCAGCTGCAAGCTGCACGTGACCCAAGAGAGGCCCATGGCAACTTGCGAAAAACTCAAGCGCCTAGGGCCGGAACAACACATTGAGTTAGAACAGCAAAGCGTGGCTAATAACCCCCACAATTTTTAACCACATAAAATATCTTCCGCGCGGAATTGCCTAAGACATGGTCCATTTTTGAAACGCGAGAATTCGTTTATAGCACACGCAAGATTTCTGTTGAAAAAGAGAACAGAACGAGACCGAATGTACGACGCGGTTTGTAAAACCAGAAACGTCGCGATTCGCAATCGGCGTCGTGGGGGCGTGCCGACTAAGTTCGCAAGGGTTGAGGTACAGATGTAAAAATTCGTTACGCTTCGCGTATCCCCACCAGCCCATCTCACAACAGCAACTCTTGCGAAGCATGCCGACAGTCGTGTTTTTCAGGCGTGTGTCCGCTTGGCCCCGCATATCTCCCCTGTTACTCCTTCCTCCCGCCTCCTTGTACATCCTCCTTGTGGGGGGAGCGGGACAAGGACGAGGTGGAGGAGGAGGGAGAGAAAGCGCTCCTCGTGGTTTGAGTCGTTTGGGGTTTCTCGTCCTGGTGTGAGTCATTCGGGCCCTTCTTCCTGGTGTGAGTCGTTCGGGCTCTTCGTGGTGTGAGTCGTTCGGGCTCTTCGTCCTGGTGTGAGTCGTTCGGGCTTCTCGTGGTGTGAGTTGTTCGGGCCCCTCGTCCTGGTGTGAGTCGTTCGGGCCCCTCCTCCTGGTGTGACTCGTTCGGGCTCCTCGTGGTGTGAGTCGTTCGGGGCCCTCGTCGTGGTGTGAGTCGTTCGGGCTCCTCGTGGTGTGAGTCGTTCGGGCGCCTCGTCCTGGTGTGAGTCGTTCGGGCCCCTCCTTCGTGGTGTGAGTCGTTCGGGCTCTTCGTGGTGTGAGTCGTTCGGGCCCCTCCTTCTGGTGTGTGTCGTTCGGGCTTCTCGTGGTGTGAGTCGTTCGGGCCCCTCGTCCTGGTGTGAGTCGTTCGGGCTCCTCTGGCGTGAGGCGTTGGGGCGTCTTGGGGGCCTCTTGGCGGCCCCAGGGGCTTCTAGGAGCGTCTTGGGTGCCTTGGGGGAGCCTCTTCGGGCCTCTTGGGAGCCTCTTGGAGGCCGTTTGGGGCGTCTTGGGGCCTCTTGGCGGCCCCAGGGGCTTCCAGGAGCGTCTTGGGTGCCTCGGGGGAGCCTCTTAGGGCCTCTTGGGGCCTCTTGGGGGCCTCTTGGGGGCATCTTGGGGGCCTCTTGGCGGCTCCAGGGGCTTCCAGGGGCCTCTTGGGGCCATCTTGGGGCCTCTTGGTGCCTCCTGGGCGCTTCTTGGGGCCATCTTGGAGGGAATGGATCAAAGAAGAGGGGAGCTTTAATGAGCGCTGCCCCCTTCAGAAGGGCAAAATGAGCCCAAAACCTTCGTAAAATCAATGGTTTTGCCTTGAAGGAAGAGGAGAACTTTAATGAGCGCTGCCCCCCTTCAGAAGGCCAAAATGGGGCCAAAACCGTAGTAAAATCAATGGTTTTTGGCTTCACAGAAGAGGAGAGGGTTTTTTCTCCCTCCCCCCGTCGGGGCCAGAATCCTCGTGAGGGTCGTCGTTTTTTAGCCCTCCCAGAAGTCGAAAATGACTCCCCTGACGACCCGCGGAGGGACCTCTCCAGGCCCAGGGGAGGGGGTAGGGGGAGGGGTAAACCCCTCCCCGAAGGGGAAAAAGGGGGATTGAGAACAGAGCGGGCTCTCTAAACCACTCACGCCCAAAGGGCTGGTGGGATTTTCGCAAGGGTTGTGGTACAGATGTAAAAATTATCCTGGCGGGTGTGGGGTGGGTTGTGCTCTATTAGTTCGTGCGCGAGCAAGCGGCTCCAGTGCTTGGGGTCAATAGAAGAAGTGCACAACCCTGGCACGAGTTGATCATGTATGAGAGACATGCGGCCGATGCGTGCACAACACACGCTCGGGCGTGTGTTGATTATGGCCTTGGTGAAAACGCGAAGCGTTTTAAACAAGGGGTACTGCCGTGTAGCGTTGGTGCCTTTGATCTCATGGGCGGAAAAAATAAAAAATATATGCCCACGAATGCAAGAGGGGCCGTCCTATCTTCAACAACCTCTTCCACAGTTACATGTGTCGCGGCAAAGCTAGTAAACTGATGCAGATTGGGGAAGGCCCGCCCCCGCACAGCCGTATCAGGGAGTTTCTTTGTGGAAGTAGATGCTTCGTGCGAATGCCAGAGGCACCCTGGCTCTTGAAGCAGGTATCAAGGAGCCGAAGGGCGCTGTCAAGTTTCATGATGTGTTCGCATCAGGGGCTTAAGATCTAGGCCCCATAATGAAGGGTTAACACATGATGGGTCATCGCCCGGGCATGAGGGATCGACGCATGACGGGCAGAAGCCCCGGCATGATGGGGGGACAACGCATGAAGGATCTAGGTTTCAACATGCGGGGAGGGGCATCGCATGAAGGGTCAATGCCCCAGCACCGTGGGAACCACTGTACAACTGAGAACCGCACTTTGGGAAAGCAAAGCGGAAGTGCGCAAACGAACGAAAACAAGAGCAACGGCTGTATCGCAAGAAATAAAGCTATGGTTGGTATGCGCCGCGACAAGAAAACATAATTCAGACAACCGGCAGGGAGGGAGGAAGAAGGGGAGGAGAAGGATGAGGAAAGGATGGGTGGATGGATGGATGGATGGAGTTTTCCCAGCGAGGCTGCATTGTGGGGGCGCGGGCACGGCTCTTTTAGCAGAGGGCAGCAGGGCCGAAGGACGGCGACCGCCGCGGCCCCGCAGCGTCCGCTCAGACGAAGGGAAAACACCGCCTGCGGGGACAGGGGAAGGGGAGGGGGAGGACAAGGGACTGACCGAGGAACGCCCGGCTGATTCTGGGCCCGCCTTTCCCTTAGGCCCACAGAGGAGGAGCCGTTCCCTAGTGCTGTAAGCGAACCCGGTGGAAAGGAGGGGAAGGCACGGGGAGGGGGGCCTAACGGCGACTTCCTCCTACAGGGACTCCCTTCCGTACTCCCAGCCGCCTCGTGTCAGCGCAGGGCGCAGTTGCGAGACTGAGAGAATGGGGGGAGAGGGGGTCACCCGAGGCGGGGCAGAGATTTATACTACTCGGCTGTCGCTGGCTTGGCCCAGCAAGCAAACGCGCACGAGGTCCACCAGAAGAGGAAGAGGTCCACGTGTATGGCCTCTGGGGCCTCTTGGGGACTTTTGGGGGCCCTCTTGGGCCGTCTTGGCCGCCTCTTGGGCCGTCTTTGGGTCCTCTTGGGTCATCTTGAGGCCCTCTTGAACGGGTATTGGGCGCTGTCGATACCATGCAGGTTGATTCAAGCGAGTAGGACTATTTAGACGATGTTCGCATATAGGGATCATCTTAGGGGGTTGTCTTGGGGACTTCCAAGGGCGTCTTCGAAGCTTCTAAGGCAGCCTTGTGGCCATCTGGAGTGTTTTTGCGGTTTCCTTCGCGTGTTGGAGCCCAGGTAGATCCACCTTAGATAGCATTTTGCGCATCTTAGAGGCCATGCAGTGCAGATTTAGAGGGCCCAGAGGCCCCACGGGTGCGTTGACGAGCTCTGGCCACCCACTCACCCCCCTGGGGCGGCCCAGCCCCTCCCCCCGTAAACCCCTGGAGGCCCCCAGGGTGCGTCGACGAGCTCTGGCCCCCTCCCATCCCCAGGCCCGTCCAGGCCCCCTCCCCTCCAGGATTTTAGACCCCAGAGGAGGGGGACAGTGGGAGAGAGACAGTCAATCACCGCACGCGCCTTTGCAGCCCCGGCAAGCGGAAGTGGCGGATTTGTGCCACACGATGCACGCTGTCTTCTTCTTGCTTTCAATCACTTCAGCCTGTGTATATTGCCGCGTTCAGCATGTTATGTATACTGCCGCGTCCATGACCCCACCGATTGTCCAGGCGTTGTTTTTTTTGAGGGCGTCGTTCGCAACACACGCTCAAGCTTGCTCAGCCTACGTGTCCACATGTGATATCCGACAGTTGGTGGCAGACAGCAGAACTCCAGTCTTCCATTGTCTCTGAAACATTTACCGCTGTGCAGTCCGCAGTCGCTACAAGCTTTCATCGTATGTTGTTGCGGGTTACAAGTAGAAACATCATGTGACGGACGCGTTGTAAACAAATGTTGGTAGCGTTTCGGTGCGAGTGTATATATAGATATGTTAGGGGCTTTGCTTGCTGCTGCTGCCCCCTATTACTAGTGCGTGCGGTTTCGTGGATAGCGGCGTGGTTGCTTCTCGTGGCAGGCTTCTCGGCAGAGTCGGCGGGTCATTGTTGGAGTTTCTTGGAAACCTTTCTTGGAGCCTTTTGGGCCATATGTTGGATCTCGTGGGGGTCTCGTAGGGGCCTCTTGGGGGCCTCTTGGGGGCCTCTTGGGGTCTCTTGGGATATTTTGGGGGCCTCCGGGGGCCCTCTGAGGGCGGAAAGGTTGAGTTTTCGGTTCGTGGACTCCTTTTTGGGACCATCTTGGGGCTCTTTTGGGCCGTATGGGGCGCCTCTAGAGCCGTCTTGGGGCCATCTTCGGCCGTCTTGGGGCTGTTTGGGAGGCCTCTTGGACCGTCATGGGCGCATCTAGGGCGGTCGTAGGACGTTCTTGGGAACCTCTTGGCCCGTCTCGGACTGTCGGAAAACCGCACAAGCGAGAAGGCCAAAATACTTCAAAAAGGATTCGTGTCGCGTGAAGGCTGTCTATCGGTCCCCATCCACAGCAGGCCAAATTGCGCTTCAACATCTCAGCACCAACGAGGTGATGTGGCCTTGACGCTTCTGTTGTGTCCCAATCCTCCTCGTTCCCTGCCGCCTTCCCCATCCTCGGCTGCGGCCACGAAGTGTGAATATTCTTCGTGCCACCCCCGAGCGAATGGTCCACTCGTCGCTGCTCACATCCTCGAACATTGCCCTCCTCACGGCAGGTCGCTCTCGCGACCCAGGCAGCACAGCGGCCCTCCCCTGCGGCCCCGCCCACGGCCGGGCCGCCGCGACCGCAGGCCGTGGCCGCCTGCTGCCGTCGGCGCGGCCCGCGGCCGGCGGCCCGCCCACGCGCGCGACCCGCGCGCGCGCGCGCCCACAGAGCCAAGGAATGGTGCACCTCCACCGGGGGGGCGGGCTCCCGTGATGCCCCGGCGCGGCCCGCGCCGCCGACGGCGAGGGCGTGCGCTGGCGCCCACGCGACGCCTGCGGCAGGCGCCCGCGGGAGGCCCCCCCGCGGCGCTCGGGGGCCCGGCGGTCGGCCGGGGCGCGGCCGGCCGGCGCCCCCCTCGCCGCGCGACGGCCTGCGGGCCTCGCCAGGGGGGAAAGCGGGCCCTGAGGTTACCAGCCTGGAACATATCCCTATCCCTATGCTGGGCACCTCCTCCTCACGATGCCAATCTCAGGGATATTCCTTCATCTTTTGGAGGGCGCATCCCCAAGATTGTCATCGCCTTTTGGCGCGTCAATCTTAGGGATAGGGATCCGTTCGAGGCTGGTAATGAGGTGCCTCTCGCCGTGTTCTGTCTGGCGCCCCGGGGCCCGCGCCCGCGTGCGGGGCGCTGCCGGGGCGGCCGGGGGCGGCCACGCGCGGGGCGCTCCGATGGTGTCGCCGCCGCCGCCCTCCTCCGCTCCTCCGCGTCATCCCCCTGGCTGCGCGTGTCGGTCGCCGCCTCCCCGGGCCCGCTGCCTCGCTTCCTTGCTCTCTGCGCTGTCGTTTCCAGCGCTTCGCGCCGTCCGCCGCCCTCCCGATGCAGTGCTCGGGGCAGCCCGTGGCTCGGGGCTCGGCTTCCCCTCGCTGGGGAGGGGGGAAGCCTTCAGCAAGACGGCGTGCAGACTACTGCGACACAGAGTCCGACCGAGCGACTTTCTCCCCCCCTCCCTCCTCCAGCACCCTCCCCTCTTTCGGTCAGGTGGCCACCGGGTCCTGGCGCAAAGGGGCAGGTCTGACATTCCCAGCCGCACCCGCCATGGGGCCCAGCGTCTCGAATTCAGCAGAAGACAGAAGATATGTCAGCAAGTACGCATTGCAGCCCAAGTCATTCTGCGGAGGGAAGGGGGGGAGGGAAGGGGGAGAAAGAGGAGGACGAGGAGGCGGAGGAGGAGGAGGAGCAGGAGGAGGAGGAGGAGCAGGAGGAGGAGGAGGAGGAGGAGGAGGAGGAGGAGGAGCAAACGCCGTCCGTAGGGCCCGAGGCAGGAGGAGGAGGAGGAGCAGGAGGAGGAGGAGGAGCAGGAACAGGAAGAGACGAGGAGGATGAGGAGGGCGAGGAGAAGGAGGAGCGATGACCTTTGACGCGGTGCTGTGTTCACAACGCGGCGCGGGCTTTGTTGCAGCCCCGTCTCTCGGCAGTTGTGTGCTCGTCGCGGCCCATGTCTGGATGGTTCTCAGGACCAAAGCGGGCATCCAGAGGCCCAAGCCCAGCCAGAGGAGCTGGTCGTCGCGTTTTCTTCGCGAAGCCCCCCCACCCCCCGTCCGTGTTGGAGGCCCAGACGATAGAACCTGTTCAACGAATCCGATCACCGATCCTCGATCGGACATCTCCCCCGCGGCCGATCCCCATCCGCAGTGGGCCGCGATGGACGACTACGATACCAATGTCGAGATGACCCTCAGGCAGAACCTGCGGCCGCTGTCCCGCAGGGAGTCCGACGCCGAGGACCGAAGGGGGACATGTGTCCTCCCCGTCCGTCCCTCCCTCCCTACGGAATGGGCCATCGTTGCCACCAGTGCGACGATTAGGCAACCACCGTACATTTTCGCATGCATCATCTGATGATAGTTCGGTAGGGCCAGTCACTATCGCGATGATTTGTGTGTGTGGGTTTGCTCCACCGCGTTGCCACGGGGGCTCTCTTGTGCTTGTAAAGGAAGTGGGTGGTTCACCGCTTTCTATTCTGACCCTGGGTCTTCGGACCCATGCCAATCCGTATTCTGCATTCCCTCCGGAGTTGGGCGGGGGCGGAGAGGAGGAGGGTGACCGGGAAGTTGGGGAGGGACAGGACGAGCCACGCCCACAAGGGCCAGGGAGCTCCTGGTGGTGCTTCTTCCCAAGCTCGGCCATGAGATAGTGTGTGGCCCCAGGGGGAGCGGTGTCGCGCGTCTCGCCCCAGGTCCGGAGAGCACCTGTGCTCCGTCGTTTCTCGAGCTTCGGAAGCCAGTCGGCAGATCTCTTCGAGGGGTGAATGCTGGCGACCAGCACGTGCAGGCGAGTACCCCTCTGGAGACCGACCGACCCGTGTTGGTCGCGTGTCCGAGCTGCGGTGCCGCGAGCAGCCGCCAGCTGGCGTCCGTCCTCCGTCCATGCCGCGCAAGTCCCTCCGGCCCACGGCCACCGCGCCACTCGCCGGATGCAGCAGGAAGAGCTTGTGCCTTGTGTGGATCGGGGGCGACGTTGGCGACTGCAATAGCCGCGGCCGTGCAGGGTAGAGCTCACAGGCGCGAGCATATTCGAGTCGGCAGGCGGAGGGGCAAGACGAGGATGAGGACGAGGACGAGGACGAGGACGAATACCCTTGGCTCTCCCCGTTCCAGCCTCCGCACCCCCATGTCTCCCACAAGGTCCTCATCTCCCTCCTCATCATTCAGGAGGGAACGAATCACACAGGCACAATGAATCGTCGATTCCAGGAAAAGATTAGAAAATATGGGAAGTGGGGGGGAAGACAAAAACCAAGCAAACATGGGAAAAGGTTGGGAATCCGGTCACTTGTGTCTTTTATTTGTGTGTCCCAGGGCCCCTTTAAGCATCCTCCCCTCTGCCTCCTCCTTTCCCCCCCCCCCGCACTCCCGCGTGCGCTCCCTGCTGCAGCTCGCCGGCTCCTCCTCGGTCTTCCAGGGGGGCAGGGGCGCGTCGGACGCCTCCCTCGATCCTGCTTGGACCCCATCGGCCCACCAACCTCTCCGATCCCTCCCCCCCTCTCTCGTGGGTGGACAGGCCTCCTACCCTGACACGTCGATTAAGGAATTGGCCGTTTTCGCTTCGCGAGAGGGCGTCGCGGCCGTCACTTTTGCGGGTCCATGTCCGCCGGCTTCGGTCCCAGGCCGTTTTCACTAAGGGGAGGTTTACTAAAGGGAGGTTTGTCCACCGCCGACTCTCGTCCTCCCCGATCCCCCCCCGTCGATCCCGACCCTCCTCGATCCCTCCCTCGACCTCGATGCTCCTCCTCGACCTGGGCCTCGTTGCGCTGGTCTTATGTCGGGCGTGTCCCCCATACAGGGAGGTTTCCATCGAAAAATAAAGAATACCCAAACATACCCAAAAAGGTCAAACAATACTCAAAAAATAGTCCCGAGACTATTGTTGGACTATGTTTAATTATTTTTCTGGATTTTTCAGCGAAAATCCCCCTGTAGGGGGACAGGCCCGACTTAACTCTAACGCAACATCTGGTTTTGCACCGCAACGTCCTCTTCAATCTGTGGCCGCATCGCAATCTGGAAGGCGTGGCACTTGGCCGCCCCAAGGGGAAACCACAAAGGGGGTATGTCACGGGCCCGTTCGCGCCCAGACCTGCGTCCACTCCAGCGTAGAAAGCATGCTTTGCCGCCCCAGCCCTTTTCAACGAAAATCCCCTTGCAGGGGGACACGCCCGACTGAACGCTGGCCCGTGGCGGGGCAGGCGGAGGGCGCGCGCTGCCGCGCGCGCTGCCCGCGGGCCGCCGGAGGGAGGCCGACTCGCGCGCCGCCCCGCCAGGCCGCTCGGCCGGCCGTGCGCTCCAGCCTGCAGAACGTCCTCGAGGCGTCGAAGGGGGGGAGGAGGAAGAGGAGGAGGAGGAGGAGGAGGAGGAGGAGGAGGAGGAGGAGGACGAAGAGGAGGAGGACGAGGAGGAGGAGGAGGAGGAGGAGGAGGAGGAGGACCCCCTCCCCCTCCAACTTGTGGTGGAGGGGGGCGGGAGCTCACACTGCCGTTTTTGATCAGAGTGAGGGGGCCGAACGGTCATTCACTGTCCCTGGGTGCGTGGCTGAAATGGGATTTCGCGGTGCGGATTTCGTTGTTGTTGTTGTTGTTGTTGTTTGTATTTGTTGTTATTGTTGTTTGTGTCGTGTCCCACCCGCAACCCGCCCCGCGACCCACCCGCGACCCACCCCGCGACCCACCCGCGACCACCCGCACCCCCCGCGACCCACCCCGCGACCCACCCCGCGCCCACCCCGCACCCACCCGCGACCCCACCCGCGACCCACCCGCGACCCACCCGCGACCCGCCCGCGGCCCACCCCGCGACCCACCCCGGGGACCCACTCCGCGACCCACCCCACCCGCGATCCACCCGCGACCCCACCGCGACCCACCCCGCGACCCACCCGCGACCCACCCGCGACCCACCTTCGACCCAAACCACGTTCAAGGTACAAGCCACCATTTTCGGCGCCTGCGGCGGGCTTTTATGGCATTCCTTCCAGGTAGAGAACCCGCGACCCACCCCGCGACCCAAACCACGTTCAGGGTACAAACGACATTTTTCGGCGCCTGCGGCGGGCATCTTTTGCATTCGTTTCAGGTGGAGAGCCCGCGGCCCACCCGCGACCAAGTTCAAGGTACAAACCAAGTTTTTCGGCGCCTGCGGCGGGCATCTTTTGCATTCGTTCCCGGTGGAAAACCCGCGGCCCACCCGCGACCCATTCCACGTTCAGTGTACAAACCAATTTTTTCGGCGCCTGCGGCGGGCTGCTTTTGCATTCCTTCCAGGTGGAGGTGGAGAGCCCGCGACCCACCCGCGACCCAAACCACGTTCACTGAACAAACCAATGCCGCACAAGCGCGGCGGCGGATTTTTGCATGCCGTCTGAGCCCGCAACGACCTCTTCAAGCCCCGCGCATCCACACCAGCCCGTCCAGCAATTTTGCCATGGCGAGTTGCCTTGATCAGAGAAGTCGGGGAGCACGATGTGGAAAATAGGATTGCGTTGCCGTGATCTTTGGAAAGGAGGCGGAGGCAGGGGGAGTAAACAGGGGACGAGGAGGACGCGAAAGAAGAGAGGATGTAAGGAGAATGTGGAGAAAGAGGAGGAGGAGGAGGAGGAGGAGGAGGAGGAGGAGAGGGAGGAGGAGGAGGATCAGCAGGAGGACGAGGAGGGGGAGGAGGGGGAGGAGGGGGAGGAGGGGGAGAAGGGGGAGGAGGAGGACGAGGAGGGGGAGGAGGGGGAGGAGGGGGAGGAGGATGACGATGGACGACAATGGGAGGACGATGATGGAGGCCGATGACGGGGTGGACGGCAATGGGAGGACGATGATGGAAGGACGAGGGGGGGAGAGGGAGGACGAGGAAGAAGAGGAGGTCGAGGTGGAGGAGGAGGATGACGATGACGATGACGACGAAGACGAGGACGAGGAAGAGGAGGAGGAGGAGGAGGAGGAGGACAGCGCCATCGACAGGGAAGGTGGGGGCCACGAGCTCCGCCGGCTCGACGACGTCCGCGTCGCCCGCGCCCGCCCCCTCACTCTTATCCGCAATTGCGGGGTGCTATGTACGTGCTCCGCGTGCGGCCCATTTATTCAAACATGTAGGGATTTAGTATTGAAATCAGCCATGAGTTCATGCATAAATCTATTCATAAATTAATCATGTATGAAAAATCCTATATGTTCAAACATCCGATGTATTTAAGAAAAGCCCTGTAGTGGGCCCTGGAAACGACAGGGCCGTTTTTGTTACCGGTTCCGTTCTGCCCGTTTTTTTCCGGTCCCGTCGCCGTTCTTTTACGGGTTTTTGTTCCGGTTCCACTCCTGGAGCCGTTTTTGTTGCCGTTTCCGGTCGCCGTTTTTTTGCCGTTTCCATTTTCAAAGGGCAGTTTTCGGAAACGGTGAAAAAATGGCCCTGCCGTTTCTGGGGCCCACTATAGGGGCGGGAGCGGCAACAGCGGAAGGAGGTGGCGCAGGAGAAATCGGATGGGACGGCGCACACGAATCACGAACGAGAAGTGGCCGGACCAGACGACGCAGAGCGTGAGGAGATTTGGAGGCAAGAGGGGGGGAGGAGCGGGCGGAGGAGGAGGAGGAGGAGAAGCAGGAGAAGGCTGCACGCGGTGTCACCGTGGTCGGTGCACGCGGCAGGAGGAAGTGGGAGAGCGTGCTCGGGCTCCCTTTGCGACTGGAGCGGCCTCGGAGGCAGCATACTCCGAGTTTCTTAATCAGCGTCGGGGGGGCGTCACCCCCGCCGACAGCCCCACATCGACCCCCGTCGCGGGCAGCCACCGCGCGCCGAAGGCGCTCCGACCCCCGTCGCGGCGCGACGACGAGGCGAGCGCGCGCCGAAGGCGCTCCGACCCCCGTCGCGGCGCGACGACGAGGCGAGGTCGACTCCCGTCGGGGGGGTCCCCTCCCACGCTTATTAAGAAACCCAGGGTAGGGCGTGTCTCTGAATGGTGCTCCGGAAAACTGACCCAGAGCACATGGCATGCGAGGTCTGCGCGCCAGGGCACCCGCTCCAAGGGGAGACGCAGGCGCGCAGGAGGCGCCACGGTTGTGCAGAAGATCGCCAGGAGGCGATTCCACATACCGCACAGGAGTAAGGGCGACCTGCATGTGTCGGAGATATGTCGAAGAGGAGAAGGGTGACCATTTGAATGACGTCGCGCGTGCAGACTAGCCAGGGATGGAGCATTGCAGAACGTGCCAGGAGAGACTTCGCCGTGGGGCTCAGTCGCGCAGAACGTGTTTGCGCCTCGGCGACTTGGGCGCGGGCTCCTGTCGACAATGGAGAAAGCATTGCCCTTGGGATCGTCGGGATCTTTGCGGTGTTGATTCCTGCGGCGAGGACGAGTGCGCCCGCGTCCTGAAAGTTTCCAGACAGCGATGCGCAGATGAGTGAGATGACGAGCGCGATCGCCTCGGGAACTCGAGGCCGGAGGCTTGCTGTCTGCAGCTGCTCCTGCCCGCAGCCAGGCATCAAACATGGCCAAAGCAGGAAATCGTGCAGACACACAAAACAGTCGGGGCGCTGAAGAAGGAACCCTTTTCGTTGGGGAGGGGCTCGGTGTCCCTTGATGGTTTTACAGTTTGCCCCGCGTTTTCCTTAGGTTTTCCATGGGAAATCGAAGTTTAACTGATGGGAAAAAGGGGCCTCGTTCCTTATTTAGGGTTCCTCAGGTCAACGCCCCGACTCTATGCACTCAGGGCTCGTGCGGCGAGCGCACTGCCGCGTGCCTCGTCACCCCGTGGCTCGGCGGCGGGGGACCGCGGCCACCCGGTGCATGCCCCTTCTCACGGGGGCCGCTCGTCGTGAGCCCCCCCCTGCTGTGCATCGTGCCTCCTCCTCCTCCTCCTCCTCCTCCTCCTCCTCCTCCTCCTCCTCCTCCCTCCTCCTCCTCCTCCTCCTCCCTCTCCTCCTCCTCCTCCTCCCTCCTTCCTCCCTCCCTCCTCCTTCCTCCTCCTCCTCCTCCTCCTTCCCCTCCAGCTGCCGAGCTGGGCTCCCTGCTCAAGAGACGCGGCTGTGGGGGGGGGGGACCGAGTGGGAAACTGCCCTTTGTCCGTTGCGATGCGGGGTAGATCGACTTCCATATGTGGGGAGGGCGATCCCAAATGATGCCTGAACCCAGCCACACAAAGGTGCCGCCTGTGGATGGCACGAGCTTTGGAGCCTAGTACATCAGAGGAGGAGAAAGGTACCCATACCTCTACCCCCCGCCCGTTTCCCCCTTTCTGGGCCTCCTGGGTAGCCCTCGTCGCCACCTCTGGACTCCCCGTCGAAATTCTGGTCAGAACGCACACCAGGAGAGGTCTGGGGAGCAGCGGCATCGGTACCTTTTTTTGTCGCCATAGTAAGCCCAGGGCCGATGAGATGACGTCACAGAAGATATTCCGTGAGCTCAGCGGCGTCGAACGGCATATCTCTGCAAGCGGGCCGAGGGCCGACATGGCTGGAGGAGAAGCGGGCGCTAGATCTGGGACGCACTCGTCCATCCAAGCTGGCGAAGTGCTGGGCCACTGGCGACACCGGTGCTTGAAGCTTACCCTGGGAGGGATATTAATCGAGGGGTGGGCTACTAACCCTCCGACGGAGCTTGCCCATCCCCCCACCCTCCTCCTCCTTCTCCTCCTCCCCCTCCTCCTCTATCTCCTCCTCCTCCTCCTCCTCCTCCTCCTCCTCCTCCTCCTCCTCCTCCTCCTCCAGACCCCCTCCACCTGTTCCGACAGCAGGTGTCCAACCCCGCCAGCGGATCCGGGGGGGGGGGGGGGGGGCGATTATTGCCCCATCCAGAGTACTTCAGCTGTTGCCCCGCAGAACGATTTGGCCATGCGAGTGCGCGCCAGCTCGTAAGCTCACAGTCCGCGAGGGTCCTGGTCCGAACTCGCGTCTGCCCATCTCTGGCTGCTGCCACTCCCGGCCAGGAGGCGGCAGGTCGAGGGAGTCGTCGCCACGCTCGCTCCTCGGCGGGACAGGGCGGCGCACCGCGCGACGGAGCAGGCCAGCCGGATCGGATGGCTTGGCTGGCGCGTTTCGAGTCTCGGCTGAGGGCCGACAGCATCGCCATCCCACGGGCGCTCTCGAAGCACACGCATCGAGAGGCCCCTCGGGGAGATGCACGTCTGCGCGCGCCGCCGTTCCTCTCCGGGACGGTCCGGGCCAGCGTGGGCTCGGCCCCGCTTTCCTGCCCCAGGACGCGCTGCCTTCGCGCACCGCGCGACCACCTTTGCGCCCTCGCGCCCGCGCGCCGCCCCTGTAGAGTGAAGTCTGGCCTCTCCCTCTACAGGGGGAATCTGCAAAAACAGTTAAAAAATTCTCTGGGGATCACTTT